GATGGCTGAAAACGTATCAAATTTAGATCAAAAACAAATGGAAATAGAACTTACAAGGAGAGGGCTTATTACTTCAGGAACGCTATCCAAATTAAGGACTAGACTCTTACAATATCTCATGGGCGAATCTATACCCACTGATTTTACGAAATATAAAACACCTACTTCCAACCAAGCAAATAACAATGAAAATACCATAAAAATGACTAGTAAAAAACCATATTTCAAACCCGGAACATTCTCGGGACTAAATTGGGAAAATTTTGACTCTTTTATTAATAAATATAATATGTCTGCATCAATTAATGACTGGTCTGAAGAAGACAAAATTCGATATTTCCCGGGTTTTCTAGAAGGTACCGCATTGAAAGCATATGAAAATATACCAGATAACAGTAACATAAAAACTAAATGGTCAAATTTAGAAAAACATTTTCGAATACAATTTGAACCTACCGCCTTAATTGACATTCTTCGTTCTCAATTAGAAAAAAGGAAACAACTAGATGACGAAAAACCCATCACATATATAACTGACATAGAATATCTATGCAGACGTGTTGACCCCTTAATGAAACAACAGGAAATAATACGCAATATTATGAAGGGCCTTAAATCAAATATTATTAGATATGTAGGTTTTATGGACAACAATACCGTAGAAAATCTTAAATTTAATATTCAGAAATTTGAAAAAATTGAATTTATGGCGAGCGGTAGTCTATGCGATCAATCACCATTAAAAAATAAGGAATCTATATTTAAAGAAGAAATTTTTAAAATTAATGAAACTATAAAAACATTAAAAGAAAATAATGAGAAACTAATAAAAGATTTACAAAATTCAACTATGACCGAAAATATTAATAAAATAACAAGTCAATTTAACGATAAATTTAATACTCTTAGCGAACAGTTTAAATCACAAAACACTCAACAACCAAAAAACACTCAAAATTTCAGAAATAATAATAATACTGCGCGCTAAAATTCTCCTAAAGAACAAAAAACATTTGAAAAAAATAATAATTTCGAATCCCAAATACCCCGTACTCAATGCAATAACTGTAAACTATACAATCACACTAGTAAAAACTGTCGTTTTCCCATAAATCCGCCGACATGTCAACTTTGTAATAGAATAGGACACATTGCTCGCGAATGCTGACAATATTTTAATCAACGAATAAATAGGTTAAATGGCCACAATGACAAAAGCCATTGCCCTTCTTCGTCATACACAAATATTAAAAGAAATAGCAACACAATAAATCATAAAATAAATATACTCACGGATTCATTAGACATTTATGCATACTTAGATAACTTTAAAATATCACTGACCATTGATACCGGTGCTAACATTTGTTGCATTAGGCATACACTTATATACAACAGCCATAAAATGGAAAAAGCACCTATACAATTAACGGGAGCAAACAACGAGCCCCTCACTGTACTTGGCTCTACAATAGTAAACGTTATTATTTGTGCATTCAGGAGGTTATTTTTTGATTTCCCCAGTATTTCTCTTGATAAATGAGTAAAACTGGCAATTGTTTAAATTATTTACATTTTTTTCTGAGTTACCTTAAAAACATGAGAAAAAATATAGGACTAATAATACTTGGTGTGCTCGAAATCCTAATAATGGTTTATCGTTACGTATAGATTTAAATTAAATTACTTTATAATATTCACCCTTCCAATTTCCCTCCTTAAACAGTGGCAAATCCATCGGCAATATCGGCAATTTTTTGCCTACTAGAAATTGCAGGCAGATTCTAAATTACAAATTGATATTATTATCGTATTAGGTATACACGAAAGTTACTATGAGTCGGTCGGGAAGGACAGATATATAATCGAACATCCACGTCGTAAATCATTTTAAAATAAATAATGTATACTTAACTAAATAAAAATTATCTATGTGCACGTTTTCTACAGTTACAATGGATTTTCGTATTAAAATGTATTAAGTCTAAACATAATATACAAAATAATGTACCTAACCTAATATTATAATATATACCGAACTTAGCATAAATAAATAAATAAGAAAACGACGACAGAGTATCATATATCCATACATAATATATTACCTGCATGATTAAAATATATTATATTATTTTATCGTCGTGATGCGGAAAAAAAACTCATCTATTTATATATTATATTTTTCTCGACTTTCTATGAGTATGTACCGGCAGACACCTATTGTTATAATGTTTGGATTTAAATAGAATTTGAGTTCTGAAAACTGTTTTCAGTTTTCAGAAATGTACCCCCCCGGTAAAATTAGGGGAGGGTTAGGGGTGGCTTAGCTTCTGTAAAAGTGTTTAGAATTTTCCCACGATTTTAAAAATATAGGAATATTTACGAAATATTTAATTTGTTTTATTAAAACCCGTTTCTTCTAAAGATACATAATACAATAATTGATAATTATGTATAATGAGATTTAAAATAATTATATTCGATGTGGTTGGGCCCCTTGCCAATCGCATCGCCCCTAATTTAAGAGACTTTGATCCCAGCGAGTAATATTTATATCACAAAATATATTAGATTGGCTGAGTACAAAGTAAATGGCTCAATTAGGAGCGGTTCTTGACAAGCCACAAGGAGAAGNAAACGATAAAATTATGGCGAAGAGGAATAATATGTATTTAGGTGACCATTAAGGGGGAGGGGGTCTATCCATTACACATCGGGGCGATAGGTCTTGGATCCGCCAGTGGGCTCTAAACCCAGTAACATAAAAACCTTAATTACGTTTATGAGTGCAATACCGACTTTAAATTGTTAATACTAATATTAATATATACGTCGATACTATTATTATAATTCTAATGATTTTTCACTGACGCGTCTAAAATATCCTAGTAAGGTTTAGAAGTACCTGTTGTATTTACCGAACAAACTTCGCCCCACAGGAGAAGACCACCTTTGAATTGTAATGTGTAGGTGGAAAGTTTGACAATTTAGTAATTATTTTATAATATATTTAAAGGAACGATAAATCATTGCAATTCTAAAAATATTCGGTTAGTCGTGTTTTTTACCTTGCAACCAAGGTAACCAAGAAATCACCAGAAATAGAACTGATTTTTCAACATTAATTATTTTTAGCCTTTTTAACTATTTAGAAAATAATACGAAATGTTTTTTTTTTTATAGCGTGTTATAACTTTGAATTTTTTTTTTTTTACCGTCATTGGTAACGGAAAAACAGTTTACTGAAACTGTAGCAGTCTCGTTCCGTCATCCAAGCCAACTTGAAAAATACGTCGTATCATTACTCTCCACAGGCTCATAAATCTTTGGTGAAAAAACGAAACGTTTGAACGATTCTTTTTTAGATATAGTTTAAAAATAAATTGAAAAATGGAATATTTTAACATAATAATATAATACAACCCGGATAGCGAGTTTTTATCATTGGGTAAACAATTTAGTTTATCTATATATATATATATATATCATTCATATTTTTTATTACATATACAATATTATATTTATGTATATATATATTTTTTTTTATATTTTTTCAAGTACTTAGGATACCAATAGGAATCTAAATTCAGGCCAGAAGATTAAAATTTATCCCAAAGACTCAATTAGATTTTTTTTTCGCGTTTCAATTTGAACGAGTGAAGAAAATAGGATTTTGAATTAAGGTGAACTAAATCAATTTCTACTTGAGCCATAGTCGAACATAAGGGAGGGTTTTAATCAAACAATTTAAAAAAACGATTTGAAAGGCGATAATATTTTAAATTTCCATCAACATTTGATCATAAAACCATTAAAAAAAAATTAATACATTATACTTAATTTTATTTACCGTCATGTAAAACTTGCACTGAACCTCATGTTAAGTTTTCAAACATTTCTTTAGTACCTACCAAATCAAAATTACGTTAAAACTCGCAAAACAAATATTCCTATAAATAGCTTGAAAATGGTCAAAATGTTGAAGTTTTTACCACGGTTATAAAAGGCAAATGTGAGTTTTCTCTCAAAATGTCAAGTCTCTATAAATATGTTTAACTAAATTACAACAAAAGACAACAGTGTAACAATAATGCAACTAGATTTTCGCATACTTTTCCATTCTTTCTACGTTTATTCTGGGTTTTCCCATTTATAAAGAAGGTTGTTGAAAAATATAAAAAACGATTCAACAAAAATATGTTTCTCGTCGTTTTTCTATAAAAGCACTAGTAGAAAATATAAAGCTTGCAAATTTAAAACGACGAAATGTTAAAAAATGAATTTTTAGGAGTAGGATAGACAACTTATTAAACTAGTAGCGATACTATTTCAGAAGTTGATTAGTCAATATTGTGTACAAATTTTGTTATCACTGGGTTTTGTTATCAAAATATATTGGCAAATGTTATTTTTTTAAACTATTAACGAAGTCTAGATTTATAGATTTTAAATCTCATCATAGTAAATATTGTTTATCGTTATTGTTAAATTATATGCAATTTCATTCCAATTTTTCAATATTACTTATTATTGTGAAACTAAAGAAGAAAAATTACAAAATTTGTGTTTGTATAAAATATATATTGGGTAATATGGTATCCGTATTAGCTTTAAAAATTAAATAGGAAACTATCAAAAATATAAACGCTATGGGAAATTTCTTAAATCCAAAATTAAATGAAGAAGAGTCTACTATTTTAGAAGAAAATTTTAAAATGTATCAAGATAAAATTATTGACAGAAAAAGGTTTATTAAAAGCAGATCAGACTTTAATAACAATAAAAACAGCAACGACGTTATGTGTAACGTCTTTTATGACAGTAACCAAAGTATAAACTTATAAACGGAAATATAGTATTAGCTTTATGGGAAATTTTCATTTTTCTTCTTTAAAATGACGATATAAGCGTTAAATAGCACTAAAAATATCAAAATGGCCAAATAGCGTTAAACCTTCAACATATGCAAATAATATGCTTCAAAAAATCTCGTATTTGGCTTCCTGGTTATCCGAAATAAATTTGTAATTTACTTAGGTGTTACTAGGACTTTTCAAAACAAATATGCAAACGCTACAAGTCACGAGCTCTGTTAATAATAAATAAATTTCTATATTACAAAATTAAACAATATAAATAATATAATATATTAGATACATTATATACAGAGAAACGCTACAGTAATAGTATGAGTGAACAAGTGTTAAATATATTAAATAATGTGTATATAAAATAGGTACCGTCTTACGGAAGAAAACTAAAAGAAATGCACAGAGCTGGTAAATTCGTTTATAGGATCCCATTTGTATTATTAAAATAAACACATCATAACAAAAAAAAATGTCTAGAACATTCTAATTTATACCTATAGTTCCACCTAAGACTCTGATAATACGGTATTTTGGTCAAGTGTGGACGTGTCTAATAATCACAGTTTACAGATATATCACTCTTCCGTTTCACACTATTGAAATTAGTCGAATGGATGGGTTATTTATGACGCTTCTGTGACGGCAGTATATGTTTAACTTAAATAAAATTGTTTTGTCAGGCCAGCTCAATCAGAATCATATAGATATAATTTTAATTATTTTAAGTGTGGCTGAATTTTATTTAATTTAATGTAAATATTGATGGTGTCGTTGACCAACCTATGGTACAAATTTCATTTGATGTTTTATACAAATTTGTTTTACCGTATTTTTTTTTCCTCAGCCTAATATATTATTATTTTGTTACAGGAACAATGCAATATTAGCACCATGTAAATTGTATATGATGCCAAGGTACCGTGCCACACTGTGACAGGTTCTTTTTTTAAGTATTTCTGATTTTGCCGAAGTCAATGAATTATTAGATTGTCAAAACGTTTATTAAGTGTTTAAAGCCATAGCAAAACAAAGATCAAAATGCATATCATTCCCAACCAATAATATTGACAAAAAGAGGGTAATCACTGGATTTTATGCCAGAAGTAAATTTCCCAGAGTTATAGGCACTGTGGGTGGTGTGATCTATACTCATTTAAAATTGCAATCATCAGGTAGGCATAAAATGTAAATACTATTGCCATCTATTCTGCACTATGTAACCTTGATTTATCATAACTATAGGTGGAGAAAATGGATAAACTTTCAGAAACAGGAAAGTTTATTTTTTCCCTAATTTTCAATGCATTTGTTATCAATGGCTTAAAATTATGGATCTAACAGCACGATGGCCAGAGTCATACCATAATCAGATCTTTATGATAACTCATCAATTAAACGTTAATTTGAAAGAGAGTTCCTAAAAGGATACCTCATAGGTGATAGTAGTTATGAATCCACTATTGACCTCTAGTTTATATAACTGCCAGCAGTTATATAATGAATGCCACACCAGGACACAAAATCACATTAAGAGGTAAATATTGCTTGGTTGAAAATGATGGAGTAGATTTAAATTTATTCTAATATTGAATTTTAATTCATTAATTATCACTATATATCATTCTTCAATTTTCAATTTTGAATTAAAAACAAATTTTTATTTTCATTTAAATATATCCAATTTGTTTTGTTTTAAATAACATATGAAGCTTATTTAATACAATATTGCAGGTGTTTTGGTGTTCTAAGTCAAAGTGTTCCTGGGTTCAGTACAGAAATAACAGTGAACTTGATAAACACTCAAGCAGATACAGTAATAGTAGCATGTGTTGTTATGCATAATATTTATATTGATATGCATGATTAACTACCGAACAATTTGTTGAGTGAAGAAAACAATGATGACAATTTTAGAGAACCTCTTTTAGAAAACCTTCTAAATTCTATAGGAATTATAAGAAAGATATTGGCTAATTAAGGAACACTTTGCCAATTTAATGTGAAATTAAAGAGTAATGTGGTAACAGGTAGACCTTAAGCCTGAAAAAGTGATTAAAATAAAAAATTCATATTATGCTTAATAATAAAATATATTTGTCTTTATAGACTACCAATTATACAACTTCATTCCCTTTTTTGAAGATTCCAGATTGGCTAAACGAATTTACAATATAAATAATTAAAAAATTGACCCTATTATATAATCTATCGTATTTCTATGTTTTATTTTGTATACCTAATCATATAAAATATTGCATCAGAGTAAACTTTGTGAGAAATAAGTTTATCGAGTTATATTCTAAAAAAAAAAATTATTGTTATTATGTTTTTATTGTTTATAA